TCGAGAAAATTTAATTTAATTTATTTCTAGTCCATCTTTAAATTTGCTATCATCGTAATAGTGAATCTACGAGAAAAAATGAATCGAAAGTGTAAAATAAAATTTTTCATAAGAAGCTTAGTTTTTGAGAAAAATATTTTATTCCATATTTTGTACCACTACTTATCAAACACCATGTATATACCAGCTGAAATAAAGCAGCGTATAATAAAACGATGAGAAATTAAAATCGTACTCCACCAACTTCCTCTGGATTTTCATTCAAATTAGCCACATAAATAAACCAACTTTTTAAAAACAGCACAAGAATAACCAGAACCGAGTCTTCAAAACAAGCGTTATTTCATTAACTCTCAACTTCCATTTCAAACTTTGCTAGTAAAAAATGTTCCTCGTGTACGAAACGCAAGAATAATCTTCTATCCGTTTTTTTTTTCTTCTTTTTTTCTTCAATAAAGTTTCGCGAGGTTTTTGCACAAGGAAACTCTTCTATATGGAAATGGCTGGTTGACGAATTGTTCACGGAACGTTAACGCGGACGTTTTGTCTGTAAAATATCGACTCGAAATATTCGTTGACCGTGCACACGAAATAATTGTAAAACGTCGCGATTAATGCCACCGAATAAAAGGTTCCCGATTCATTTTGTTCGACGAATTCTGAGGAACCACGTAGGCGTGTACGATCTTCGATTAATAGAACAGGATTAATGGAATTTAGCATACGCCACCAATGCATCCCGCACGATATTCGATATTCATGAGACGCTTTTATTATTCCCTTTTTCGTGCACCGTACAATATTGAATTTACATCACGTCTACCGCGTATTCTAATAAATTGGTTGGTCGTGAGAGAGGTGTCAATCGAACGCACTGACGACAATATTAATGAAAAATTTCTGCACTCGAGCGTGTACCATAATTTTCTCATTTTCTTGTTTCTCGTTCCTATTGTAAGGAGAATTAAAATTAGATATTTCTGAACCACGTAGCAAAAAAGATTGATTTATATTTATTTTTCTAAAATGGCAATTAATATCGATGTTTTAGAAGCACTACGAAAACGCGATATAAATATCGTTAGATTATGTTTTTTCTTTCCTGATAAAAAATGTAGTTATTAATATAGTTTATTGATTACTGATGTTATTACATCTGTACTCGATAAGAAAAATAATGATACCGATAAAGATATCCAGCATTATACATTGCAAACGAGCTTAGGATTTCAACAGAGCTAGCCGATGCATCGGTACGGTTTCATTAGATCGTATTGCCAGTCAATTGACGATTATTGTTCGATGACTGGGACATCCGACGAGAAAATAAAGGAAACATCTGCGCGACCGCTTTTTTCTCCTCTCCGCATTGCCTACCGATGGTTTTCCTTTTCTTTTTTTTCTTTGTATAAAAGACCAACGATCATTTACAGCCTGAAAAACCCATTCTTTATACCTTATCCTTTTGTTTCGAGCACAATGTATCCTGCACAAATTAATAAATATATACAAAAGAATGAAAAATAAAATATAAAGTCAAGTAATTATAAAAATCGTATTCTTCGTGTCAATAAGCAAAAAAAACGTCAATAGTTGTTCATTATATTCAGTCAATTGGGATAAAGTAACTTATTTTCCATTCCAAACCTGACCTAAATTAGGTTAAGTGAGGTTAGGTGAGGTATACGATACCTTTTTATTATCTCGACACAACTAGAATAAACTACTTTGTCTTCTAACCTAAACCAGCACCAGTATATTAGAACATAGTTTATAGAAACTCTCCAGTAACGTCAATATTAATTCGAAACAAGATAAAGTAATATACGAAAAATGACTGTGCTACACGTTTGTAAATTACGTCGTACATTTCTCTACATCGTCGAACCTTTAACACAGCCAGTGCGTTGAATTAACGAGTATCCTATTTTTGGGCCAATCCGCGGCTATCAAAGTTTCACAGAGAATCTCGAGACGTGGTGGAATGTGTTAAATAACGCATTAAACGGATTTCAAGCCGGTGCACCTTGGCCTCTCCATTTCGAGCGGCCGGCACACTTCAGACCTAACCAAGCAAAGGTGCGCGCGGGCGCGAGCGCGCACTTTTCAATTTGCCCTGGCTGCACAACAATAAAAGGCTATTCCGTTTCACGAGAATATAGTTTTCATAAAATTGTGAAATCTCGCGGTCTGCCCCGCTCGCGTTCTCACGTATCGCGTTACAGCCGCGCACAGAGTTTCGTTTTTCCAAGGTTTTTCACGCGCCGCCTATTCCTCGTTCTTTCGCTTTTTTTTTGTTTTTTTCTTTCTTGCTCGGCGCACGATAGGTCGCGTCTCACGCTTCGCGAGATATCGATCGATTTAACGCAACACCGATGTACCGATCCTTCACGATATAAATAATTGCTGTTGCACACGTAATTCCGCGAGAGAGCGTGCAAAAAGTGCATAAGACGAAACATTATTTTAATTCGTCAATGAAGGTAATTAAGCGTGGTTAAGGCGAAATAAAATGTTAGGACGGTAAAGGAAAGAAAGTGGGAAGTTGGAGACGTCGAGGACGTCTCAAGGTCACCGGTGTATTTTTAATTATATTTTCGGTGGCAATGGTATTTTTTCTGGGAGGTTCAGTGAACTGATACAGAAAATCGTTCAAAGGGGGACGTAACAAAATACATTGGTATTTAAAATAGAACAGTTGGAATATCTATGATTCGGAGAGGATCGGAAGTCGAGTTATTGCATCGACGTAACTGGATCACGTAACCGTCGCTGGAGTAGCATGAAAAATTCGATATATTCGAGGAATTTGAATGGTTTGAGGGAATTCGAATTGTTCGAGATATTTCAAATAACCTTCGAAGCACTCGAATAAATCGAATTTTTTGCTACCGCTGGATATATGGAACAGGATGGAATATTCCGTTCAACTGGAAAGTTGAATTGAAACCGGAAACTTTGAATATCCATTGTGAGGAAGGATGATGCACGGGATGCTTTCTGGATGCTTTGGCAGTGTGTTTACGATCTTGAGTGACCTTGCCTGGCAGGTCGTTGAACTCGACTTAAAAGAGGCTATCACCCTACAGAGGAAAAAATAGAACGTTTCATTAAACCCTGCTAAGGCTCTCGATTTCACTGTACGCCTCAAGTATAATTCACTTGAGATCGATCGAAAGGGCATAAAATAGCTTATATTAAAAAAAACATACATTTTATTGAAAAATCTGAATAATTGTAACAGTAATATTCGATAAATTATTGAATTAAGTAATTGTCCTTTACCTAAATTTTCACAAAAGCGTCGTTAGTAAAATCCTCGCAAAATTTCTTCTTGACCTCAAACTCTCCGCTGCTCCTTTACTTTCGGAACACCCTGTATACACGCTGCATTTAATACTATCCGCTAAAAAGCGATAAATTTCGTGAACGTTTCAAAAATTCGTCAAAATAAAGTAAAAATTAATAACCCGATGCTATCGAATTAATATCGAGTTATAATTAAAGAAAAAGAAAACAAATATTCGATATTTCGCACGAAAAATTTGAACACAAGACGGATCGCGCGAATCGAACGCGTATCGCCCTCTTTTTCATCCACGCGGTATTGAAAATAGATCGAAATAGCGGTTCGCTTCAGTTATTGTCGTCGATGGTATATTTCCACGAAACCATGTCCATATTACCCGATATCGATACGCCAGGTCAGCCGAATCGAGTCGAATCGAAGTTGACGAAAAGAAGGAAGCGATCCAGCAGCAGCCACACGGTTCGATGTCGTTAACCTTTGCGGGATTTGCCTAAGCGTGTGCGTTTACGACCCACGCTGTACACGATCCATAATGTGATATATCCGTTTTGCAACGAAATAAAACTAATAATAGAAACATCGAACGAGCCAGTGACGTAACAATGCACGCACTTACGCACGCCTGCAGATCCTCCTTCGATAATTTGCGAGAAAGGTGCGCGACGAAACGACATACACGATCGTGCATAGCAAAGTCACTGGCCTTAGCCAGGAAAGTAACGCGGACGTTTTTTATTTTTTATTTTTGTAACGACGAACACGATGCACATAACGCGAGTACGCGCTGGACGCGATTGTTATCGTCGTTAATATGTCAAGCGCAGCTGAAAAGAAAAAATGATTCGACGCTCGTGGCCTGCGCTTATTGTCACCGCTGGACGCAAGAAGTGTCACAGAAGCAATTTCACACGTTCCCCTCCCGTCCGGATGGAAAGCGACAAATTAATTTCACGCGTTCCATTTCCATCGTTTTCACGTTCGTGGTCGTGTACGGTAATCACGGCGAAACGGCAGCCGCGCGTGTCTAGAGGGAGGATAAATAAAACGAACGCCGATTGGAATCGGTTCGAACGAAATCTTTTACGCGACGAATCGTACAAATCTATACAGTTCTATTAGGCGAACTACTCGCACGGAATAATAAAGCGCCGCCTCTGTCGACGTATCGGGGGATTCGAACGAATGCGAAGGAAATTAACTTCACGGTGGCTAACGTCAAGCGGATCCCGTTGAAAAAGCCCTGTGTGCTCTAACACTGTCAGCTGATGCCTAATAAAAATATGGAGAGCCTCACTCTCACTACGAACGATCTAGACACGCACTTGATTTACCAGCTGCACGCGCGTCCCTCGAACGTGAACAGAAAAATTCCTTGTCCCGTGCTAGTTGACAGATCTATTAAGACCTATTGATACGTTTCACACGCACAGTCATCGGAACCGCGTTTTTCTACAGGTCCGCCGTACGAAATCTAACCTATCGGGGATACGGAAAACGATCGATTATTTTTCGCGAAGAGAGAAACAAGTGAAACGAAAGAAAAACGCAAGAACCTTTGTGGTCACTCGAGATTAGGGAAAAAAAGAAGAAAAATGATCGGAAGCGAGAATAGGAGGAAACTTGTACTTTGTACTATCGGCGTTAGTCGAGAAAAGGAAAAAAACGTGTTTACTCACGTTCTCGCCGCCAGTTACCCGTTCCAACACTTTCGGTGCACTTCACGTCTCCGATCGAAATCGTTCCCGAGGCGGTATCGTACCGGTTTAAGAATGCCGGGACACTTCCACGAACGGCCAAAAATATTTCAAATTACGTTTCAACGATGCCTCGTTGATGCACCTTACGAAAAAGACGAAAACGTTCGCGATCGCCTCGTTAGTTCTTCACGTACGTATCACAGATACCGCGGTTCTCTTGTGCACAGAATTTTAAACGTCTACCACACGCTCGATTCGCGGGGACAGATTCGATTAAGAACGTTCAACGACGTCAGATTATATATCGGAAACGTGCGACTCGGTATGGTCGCGATGTATCACCGATACGCGCGTACGTATACACGACCAGTAAGAAGGCGACGCACGAGGAAAAACGTTCGCACCGCTCGGTGGTTCTGGCACGACTGGAGCACTGGAGGCGACTCCGAGTCGCCTCGATTTTACATATGGCTGTGTATCGTCCAACGATCAACAGAGTCGTATATTTTTGAACGTGCTTATAAATTTTTATAACATCTATTAATACAATGATCCAACAGCGAATGTAATTTCGCGTAATTGTTTAACATTCGAAAAGAGTAATAACTTTTTTTATGATAGAGATAAAAGAAGCATCGTTTGTTGATAAAGTAAACGATCTAAAAAAAACAAATTTCTGCATACAATTACATTCTACGAACGTTAACGGTAACAAACTATTATTTATTGATAATATATCCATAAAAGTTGAAAGATAGGAATGTTAGATTCTTAAATATTTTCTGACGTCTATGACATAAAACATGAAGCTACTGGTAGATCTATCGATAAGACAGAAACCTGTCGATGCAACGAAGATGCTCTCTCGATAAAACAGAAGACATACTTTCGGCGGTAAATTCAAATCTCGGAAACGACGTCGAACACAAATACGAGACGTTGAGTGATAAAAATCGATTAAAAAATGCGAAAAAAAAGCGTGGATTTACGATCTTTCAGGATACGTCAGTCCAGGATAGAATAATCTGAACAACATTTCATCTTTTCATTTTATTATACCAAAAAATTTCATCTCGTTCAATCATTATTAATTCAATATAATATATTTATCCTTTATATTTGTTATATCTTATTTATAATAAATATTTGTAATAGTGTAGTGTTCATTGTTATTCTTTATTGTGTCGCCATGAGCCATGAGAACGTGGAATCAGCAAGTTCTTAATTACCATTACTATACTAACTAGAAAGACATTTTGTGATTCTTTTTAATAAATCCATTGAAACATATTAACAGAAGCATGCCGCCAGTGGTCGCGCGTGCTTCTCTCTCTTATGTTCTCTTTTCTTTTTTCCATTTTTAATTATTATTTTATTTTTTTTTTCAGAGTAAAGTGCGGAGACACTCGTTTTTTTATTCCTTTTTCCCAGATTTGTCAGAAGACATTTTTCTTCGTTACCCGATTTTCGTTTTCCTCGATTTCGTGTCGTGTTGTTCAATGACGCGATCATTCGGACATAGACGATCCATACGTTAAAACAATAGGTACCTAAGGAAATTCATTTCTTTTTATACAACTAGCTTAAGGCTCTAGTTCCCTTAAATCAGTTCGAATTAGAATTCAAACGAGGAACGTATGTTTTCTCTTTTTTTCTCTTATTTTCGGTTCGTATCGACAACATTCTGCCCCCGTAACAATTCACAAAAATTGATCGTTTTCTAAATCCCCCTCCCTCCCTCCCACGCGCAATGATCGTTGCCATTTAATCACGAGCAACGAATCGAAACGCCTTGGTGAAACACCCCTCTCGTTTACTCGGTACTCACGATTGCGAAACGTAACTGATTTCAATGTACTAAGGCCTTAATGTGTCAAAGCAGCGTAGCTAATTTTCACCGTTACACAATTACAAAATATACGTATGCGTACACCTCTACGGACACCAATAGTTCGATCTCTTGTCCACGGATTGTCCACGGAACGTATAGACACACTCAGTTCCCGAGAACGTTACTTTTCTTCTTTTTGAGTCGCTTTTTCGAACAAAAAAAAAAAAAAAAGACATTCCGAACAAGTGCTTGAAGCAAAAGAAAAAAAAAAAATATCGTCACCTCGCTACCGTTCCTCGTTTACTCCTTCACTTTCTTATTCGTTTTTTATAAAGCTTAACTTTGACTTCTCCTTTTTAATGAGTATCTCGATTCCCGGTAAACCCTGCAGTACTAATGCAATCAACGTAATCGTTGGTCGATTTTCTTTCCACTTTCGACAGGTTTACAACGTAATTCACTCGTTTCTCTCTCTTTCGCGGCATTCCGCACGAACTGAACTGAACACATTGGATTGTAACAAGAACGCGGTATTGTTTCGTCGGTTTTTTTTTTTTTTTTTTGTCCCTTATCGGTGACTGTCACCGGTATTCTTTTTTGTTTTTTTTGTTTTTTTTCAATGAGATATTTACCGGCTTACTGCAGAGTTAATGACAATCGTGTTTCGTATGTTTCAGCATCTTAATCGTTAGTCCTAATGTTACACGCTATGTATCGAGAATACCTCTACCGACGCAGTTTACCTAAATTTAAAACCCCATGACTCGAATTTGAGAAAAATTCTGTGTGGTTTTCGAGTCGGTGATTAAATTCTTTTCTTTTTTTTTCGCTTTTTCTTTTCTGGACGACCGTGAAAAGTCAACGAAGCGTCTCTCCTCCGCTCTCGCGCAACCCAAAACTGGCCGATCTGAGAGAATGCCTCGAAATAAATCTCCTCTTTCCATCGCCGACATTTCTTTCCTTTCTTCGTTCTTTTTCCTTTCTTTCTCAATTCTTTTTATTATTGTGCATCACCTTCCTCTTGATTCACT